GTTGGAACAGCCAAAATAAGCATGTTTACGCTGAGAAACGACTCAGATGACATTTCCGAAATGTGAAACGAAAAGAAAAAGGATAAACAAAAACACGATGAAAGTACTAAAATTAAGCAAGAAGCAAATGAATACACGTATGTAATCAAAAAAGAACGAACTCACAAAATAAAATAGAAACGACGAAACAAGTTTAAATTCGCGCGTGCCGTCACCAATTTGTAGGACTAGCAAATATTAGTCCGATACGGTGCGCCAAGTAAGCGCAGATATCAGAAGGCAATTGGAGTCGGACACAGCGGACTGTATTCGATGGGCTACAAGAAGACGAGGACAGCCTAAGAAAGACAGCAGGTACACGTTAGCGCGGGAACTTACAAGGCGGTCGAGAGACGGGCCGGTTGTAAGGAACATTAAAACAAGAAAGAATAATGTATAATTGGTCAAAAATAAAATAGTACATAAAGGATAGCAGTTGTCTCTATGGGTGCTACAGTGGACGGTGATTCTGAGAACAAGCACTCTTCTTTCTTGCCGTCGTCTTTTATGCATTGAACACAAGGAAGTAGCTCGGAACAAGATGTAAATTCGGTCTGCACATCTGAGAGTAGTGCAAAGAAAAGCCTTGCTTTGAGGGTGCAGTTAGAAAGCGATATCACACTTACCTTTTCAATATCTTACTGCACATCAGAGGTCTTAATCTTTTTCAGTACGTTTCTCACAAAACCAGGTTCCTATAATCAATTCCCCAAATTTCCGCTTCAAATGCTAACTGAAGAATAACTACCGGGCATCAGTAAGTTCCCGAGACCGCGAAGAGACCCAATGTCCATGTTGGCTATTAGACTTGCCACACGAGGAATCGCCTGCTGCTAGTAAGGTCTGGTGAAAATGCGACCAGTGACCTACAATTGTCTCCAGTGAGCGCTTACTCAACCCGCATGTCATGGTACTTCCATACGCATTCAGAACAACTGACTTCGCCTGTTGACTGGTGTCGATGCGCTCACAACGTTGTCGTGAGCGTGCGCCAAAACGTATCCGCAGGTCAGCACATACAAGTGCATGAGCTGTGTCCACACATGTGCTCTAAATCGAATGACAGTTCTGGACGCGGCCTCTCCAGCGGTAACTAATTGCAATGTGATCGATTTGCGTTCATAGCTGGTTCGAGGCTGGTGGGCGCCAAGTCATTCTCCGGCGGGTGCTGTGTCGGAAAGTAGTGCTCGCAAGAAATAAGCGGGTATCTTCACAACAATGAAGTAACCGCTCACCGGTATAATTACGGGAGAATACACCGCGTTGGCCGCTCAGATGCAGTTCATCAATGGATAATTTTCCAATTTGTGCGTTCAGATACCCCGCCAGCACAACATTGTACGAGCTTCTTCCGTGGCAAAGGAGTTAGTTCAGTTGTCGGTAGAAGTCGTCGTTTACCGAATCATCGCCAGAGTTTGTGGGCGCGTAGGCAGCGATGACGAATAGACACCTATTAGTCCCACGCGACTTCGAACGATCCAGCCAATCGGACCGCACACATACGGCTACTGATTGGGATCCAATCAACCAGAGCAGCTGTAGATCGGATACTCAGGGCAATGTCAACACCGGCTTGGCCGGTGCTCAAAGCCACATGGTCAGCGGATAAGCGCAATGAGAAAGTATTGCTGGTGTCAACTGAAGGGGATAGCAAAGCGAGCACACAGCTCGAGTCTTGCAGGTGGGTTTCCGATAAGTAGCAGATATCGATGGAGAAGGTCACTAATGTGCGGGCAAGTGCTGCCTGTTAGCCGATCTGTAGCAATGTGCGTGCACTGAGGCACGCCAATCTAGAGCATCGAGGGCTTCAAATGAAAGCCCATGAACTGGGGTGGACCGCTTGGTTGGACATGGCCTTGTCGACAGGACAGGAGTGACGCTCCGCGTTTGCATGTGAGTTAAAACTAGAAAATAAACGCCCAACAAAGCACGTTGGGGGAGGGCCAAAAATCGAAGATTTGAAAACTGGGAAGGTAAAAGTTAAGTTGGAACGGGACGACAGGGGTGAAAAAGCGTAAGAAGACAGGATGGCTTTCGCAGTAGCATCCAAACCCCTATCCACCCTGCTCGATGCAGCAGATACGGCGCCGTTGATTATCCTCAGCGACGACCAGAGCATCAAGAAATTGTAGATAAATTCAGTGTACTGCGTTTGCAGGATACTGTCAGGTTGCCCAGGCCTAGACAGGAGAACGATTAGGATCCTCAACCAAAGACTTTGATACAAATCCTGAACGCAAGGCAGCGGATTTAACGGTGGCCTATAGCGAGACCGTTTTAGAGAATAAAGAGCAACCCTCATTCCAAACCAAAACCTGGAGAACCAGCAGAATGAGTTGCTCTGGTCTCCAACCGTTGACCAATCTGATATGAGTGGCTCTGAAGGCGCAAGAAAGCACCATGTAGCCTAGCTTAATGGATATCTGAGGCACGCAAAATATCGCACCACGGCAACATCCAGCCTCATTGCGATGAGCATGTGTCGGCGTCCACCTGTAAGTCGCAGTCTGCCACCAACGAAAGTTGAAAACAGGACACGCAGTGACCATTCGTCACACCGCAACAGCGCTGTGGCCGCACCTTCCGAATACCCCTGTGACCAGTTTACGTCCACGACCTAAGCCCTATCACCGGCTCCCAGAAGACAGACACCACTCATCCTCCTCAATATCCCACAGATGAAAACACGGACGAAGCAACACAACCCCCTCAACTTCTCCAATCAACGCATCCAATGAGCCACATACCACATGTCATGCAATAGATACCCAAGTCCAAATACTGTGCATACAATCTGAACAGAAAACCTCGGTGCAAACCACTCCCACTACTACCAACAACACACGCAGCGGATACAACCTCTCTGTCACGCCACAAAAGACCATCAACACTGCTCCAACATCTGCAATCTCAAGACAATAAGGCTGTCAACTAGCAGCACAATGTCCTCAATTAACAATATGACAGGGTGCTGACAAAACGCGAGCGACCTAAATGATCGCAGACTGTAAATGCACTCGGCTACACAACAAGCGTTCTTCTTACGATGGAAGACAGCTACTCTCCAAGACATTCAACACACATCCAGATGCAAGCAGCCAGCGACCAATGAGTGCACATACCTGACAAGCCACTGTCACAGTAAAAATGCTGAAACACGACCCCACCAATCACCACCACAGCTGACCACAGAGTTGACTACGGATTGAAGTGCCCACCTGAAATCGTCCAACAAAAACAAACACCTCGCTCATCCCGCCAACAACGTGACGGCGATACTGACTCAGCTGCACGCAACAAACGCATTCTCACACCAGCAACGGCGGGAAGCATAACATACAACAGTAGGAATAGTCCGCGCTGAGCAACCACAGCGTCACCATGGCTGTGGACTATTACTCGGCAAGACACTATGTAGGCATCACGACCCGAACATACGGAGGCTATCCATTGGCTAGTTGGCCAGTGACAGTGACAAAAGCAAGTGACCCCGGTGTTCAAACAAACCGATCACCATCCAATAGTAACAAGCGATACGAATCTGCTGCTACACAGATACACACACATACACACAACATTGCGCTTCCAGCTCAAATACTGTCTAGATCGCCCGATTGTCAAACACACTCTTCACCGTTCCACTGCAATACATCATAAGCCAGAACAATCACCTGCGCTCGCTGCACATAGCGAGTCACAATCACCAACATAACCCATTCAGCGCGCCGTCAGTAGTCTTGAAATCACCATCCACTCACAACATGGCTAGCACTAATAACCGGTGCAGCATTCACACAAGATTTCCACGTGCTCACAATGCGACCACCACAGTCACATGACAAACCCCACACAATGGGGTTACTTCCACTCACATACCTCGTCAACAGACCGGTTACCTCCAGTAATTCACAACCGGGTTGGTGATATTTCTCCGTTCATACACATTCGCTCATGTAGAATAGCGTCAAACAGTCTTCCACATGAGTTTCGCAGTTCATCGGGTACAAACGCCGAAATAGTCACAACCAAACCAACTCGCTGACACGCAGTCTTCAATAAACAGCTTAAACGCTACGAAAACAATAGCACCAGAATCACACACACGCACCATAGACCTAGCCGTTCGCGGAAGAAACGGGAGATGTCGTCCGAGATTCACAGATACACGCAGCAAACACACAGTCACATGGACTCATCAAACAACGAGCCATCGAGGAGCAAATAACAAACCAGTACTACTATCAACCGACAACCTCACCACCACGCAGCATAATAGGAGACCAACACGAAACATAACCCCACTATGATATAACCAAAAGTCTCGGGAAATTACGCTGACATGAACCGCAACGCTGTCTGATTCGCGAAATCGGCCGAGCCGAGTAATCTACACAAGCACAACCATGAGGGGATGCAATCACACAATGCGCATCACGCAAACACATACCGTGAAAGCACGCACCGCGTGTCACTACTCCTAGTCACACCAGGCTACGAAACGTACATGCGACAGCACAACAAGCACCACAAAAGAAAACATCCTCGCCACAGACACAACGGATAACAACGCAAAGCGCAAACAAGCGACCCATACCAAGTGAACATGTTTTCAATGCATCCGCATGTGGACCTCACATAACGAGTTCTCCACTGAGACAAACAGAATGAAGCACAAATATGAGCAAGGCAAAACAAGCAAACCGACACTTACCTGACACAACGGCACGCTCGTACTGCGCACACAACATCACGATTAGCGACATTTCGCTGGCGCGTAAAATGCATCTGAATCGGCGGACTTCGTCACATTTGCGACACACACCGCACAAACGCAGTGAGAACGAGGCAGTCCGAAGTAATGGACCTGAAAGGGAAACCAGTCAAGTGACGCATGTCACACAGTATTCAGACGTTGTGCTCCGCATTAGCATAGGAGACGAAAAATAAGACATCATAGATTTTCACAAAAATATACCGTTAAATTGAGGAATCCTACCTGCACGAACATCCAGTCCGCATGAGCTGCTAGCCAATGACCCACACCAGTGCGCGTTCACATTTCCAACTGCAATCATGAAGCGAGAAATTCTGTACGGTTCGAATACTGGACACGCAAATTGACAACATATATACATCTTCACGCCATCCATCCAATACCAACAAACAACTCCAAATGCACCACTGATAAACCACAAGAGCACACACGAAAGGGAACACAATCGAGTGCACACAACAACAACAACAAAGCAATGATGCTGTACTAAGATATTCCGCCACAAAGCGAGCATCACGACGAAAATATACGACAATCGAATAGCACAGAAATACACACGAGGGATCGGCGAGTTGAGAACACTCTCCGAATATTGCGCACGTAACACATAAGCTGCTGTACGGTGGGAAACACTAAGAAGTGTAGTGATCCACAACAGTAGGCATCAACAGACAGTGAAACACATCACGCTCATCACACAACCACGAACCTGAAGATGTGACAGGTCAGTGATGGTCCCATCCAGCGAACAAACCAGCCACACGTGTCGACATCATCATTATACGCATTAGCTAGAGGTGGGAAACACCTCAGGTACTGTGCCGCAATACATAGAAGAAACAAAGAACATGCAACAGATGCATGCCAGCTGAGCTACCAGTAACGGATGGGCATCGTTCCGGAAAGCTACAAGTCGGGTACTAGGAAAAATGATTGTTATGTAAAATTATATTTCGCTAGGAAATGAGACAGCGGTTGGAGAGGGAGGCTAAGAGGGATGGGGAAAGACAAAGAAACACAATACGAACGCCATTGAGGTCGGCTCCTAGCCATATCAGCAAGTAAATCCTGCCAAACGTGTTCATCTCACATTCGGACCCTAACAAGGGAGCCGAGTAGCTCCAACTGAGGCCAGAGTCGAAGTGATGGCTTTCATTCCCCTCAACCAAGTCATCGTTTGGCCGACTCTCTTTTCCATCCACATCCCTGGCGCGTAAACAACGCATATCACGGGAGTCGGTGGGCTGACATGCGTAACACGTGGCCGAATCACCGGAGCCTGATGCGCGAAATGACGGCACTGCGCGGTTCATTTCATTTGCCTGTGCCGTAAACAAGGCGTCCAACACACTCGTTACTCACGCGCTGTTCCCACCAGATGTGAGCCAAATTGTGAAGGCACCGGCGGTCGAACGTAACTACTCTCTTTTTGTCGGCTGATCTAAGGGGCCAGGTATTATAACAGTACAGTAGGGTCGAACGTACCGCTGCATTGTACACTCTACCCTTCAGAGCGAGAGTGATGTCACGCCGGCACCATAGGTGACGAAGGTTAGCAAAAACGCCTCGAGCTTTTGCTATCCGGTTCGTGATCTCATCTTCGATTCCAAGGGCACTGATGCAACTTCCCAGGTTGTTGGATTTTAGAACGACTTCTAGCTGATCTCCACAAAGGGTCAGTGCAGGAGAAGGGGTACATGCCAATCTTGGAGAAAAGCTTTGCACCTCGAGGTGCAAAGCAAAGCCCGAAGCGACCAACAACCATTGCTAATTGGTCCAGTACAGCTGCGCACGTCTGGGAGCCGTCACAGATGAGGGCAATATCGTCTACATACTCCAAGTCAAAAAGTCGGTCTCCTGGGAGCAGCTTCACACCTTTTAAGTAGTGTCCTGTGAAGGCAATTTCCATGACTACGTCAGTAGCAAAGTTGAAGAGGAAAGGTGACAGCGGGCATCCTTGTCTCATACCGCTAGAGACAATGAAGGGCTGCAACAGCTTGCCGTAAGCTCACACTCTGCCCAAGCTACGTGCGTACAATGCACGGATAATGTTGGCATAATTCTCTAGCACACTTCTCTTGAGTAGACAGTCACAAAGGGCACACCGTTCAACCGATTTGAAGGCACCTTTGATGTCAGGGAACATGACAACGGTGGCCCGCCAAAAAGGTGTGATGGTGCTGCAACAGCTGATGCAAAGTGAAGATGTGGTCGATGCAGTCACGACCCCGACGTAACCCGACTTGCTCCTCACGAATCTGACTTTCACGAGCGCCAGTCAGTCTGTGAAAGGTTTACAGAGGCAAGTAATTTGGAGGCGATGGGGATCAGACTGATTGCTCTATAGATGCCACATTCCAAATGCGAGCCTCCTTTGAAGATCGCGAAAATAACGGAGCGGCTCCGGTAGGATGGGACATTTTCCTGCTCCCACAGTTTCAATAATAATTGGTGTAAATCATCAACAAGAGCAGGGCCTTTGAATTTGAAGAGCGCTGGATGCGACGCATACAAACCCAATCCTAAATTTTGGCAGCAATCATCCAACAGCCTACAAGCGCAGCTGCGTAACAACTCTATTTGAAAAAGCTCCGACACACTGCAGCATCCCGCAGCTGAGAAAATCGGAGGAAGATCACTTGTTCGAAATGTTTACACGGAATGGGTATCCTAGAAATGTCATTCTACGTTGTTTAACATCAATAAAACGATCGACGCATGAACAATCATCAGAAACGGATAAAAGGATAATCAATCTACCATACATCAACGGCGAATCTGAAATGGCAGCGAGACTTCTGCTACCTTTCGGAATCAGAGTTGCTTACAAGCCGACCGAAACTATCCGAGACAAGCTCTTCAATGGTAAGGATCAACTTGGGAAAAAAGAAACAAGTGATGTGATATACAAAATCCACTGCAAAAATTGTAACAAATACTACGTGGGCCAGACAGGAAGAAAGCTCGGCTACATGAGCATAGCCTAGCCATCCGCCGACATGACCGGAACTCCGTGATGTCGGTACATATGCACGCCGAGAATCATCAGTTTGATCTGGAGAATGTCAGGATCATAGGCAGGGCAAAAAGTCGAAAATCACGCGAGTTCATCGAGGCTTGATACTCCGGGAAGAACTCAATCAACAGACACTTAGATCTAGGTACTGCCTAGAAAGCAATGAGGGTTAAATCAATACTCCGCCCCAGATCAACAGAACAAAGGAACGTCATTGAGGCGGATTCTAGCCAACGGTAAGCAAGAGCCGACTACACGGTCAGCTCACGTGGACCAACCGACCCCTGACGTTCGAAGCAAGTGATCAATAATCACTTGTATCTGGAAGTGGCACGCATAGATCGCACTGATGATGTCGTCTAGCCTCACGATGAAACGATTGCATCCAAATCAGCCAGCTCGGAGAACACCCGCATACTCTCATCCGCATCCCGACCTACAAATATCCGCACGGATTTCTGGATGAAGATCATCCGGTCCCACGGCTTTATACAACTTCTACAGTCCAATCTCACGTTCCAGTTCTCAACGACAGAGCGGATCCAAAAGGACAGCCCAGGGAGCAGGGTGATCACTGGTCGGTGAGGAACCTAATAATTCTGGCCGATTAAATTGCATTTCAAAATGCTTAGCCAAATGCTCAAAACCTTTTGACAAGTTGTGAATAGGTTGTCCACTCTCGTCAAGATTATCTTCACTAACACCAGGTCTCCTGCTGCCCGCTACCCGTAGCAGACGGAATAACTTTCAACGGTTATCAAGGGCAGCGACCACCTCCATCTCTGACGCACGAAGTGATCACGTGGATTCGCGGTCTCTCTTCAAGCAAACACGGATTTCTGCCCGGAGTTCTTTGCGAGTCTCATGGCGTTCGCATCCAGCCGGAATGTGCACGCGAGCATCAATAAGTTCCCGAGACCGCGAAGAGACCCAATGTCCATATTGGCTATTAGACTTGCCACACGAGGAATCGCCTGCTGCTAGTAAGGTCTGGTGAAAATGCGACCAGTGACCTACAATTGTCTCCAGTGAGCGCTTACTCAACCCGCATGTCATGGTACTTCCATACGCATTCAGAACAACTGACTTCGCCTGTTGACTGGTGTCGATGCGCTCACAGCGTCGTCCTGAGGGTCCGCCAAAACGTATCCGCAGGTCAGCACATACAAGTGCATGAGCTGTGTCCACACATGTGCTCTAAATCGAATGACAGTTCTGGACGCAGCCTTTCCAGCGGTAACTAATTGCAATGTGATCGATTTGCGTTCATAGCTGGTTCGAGGCTGGTGGGCGCCAAGTCATCCTCCGGCGGGCGCTGTGTCGGAAAGTAGTGCTCGCAAGAAATAAGCGGGCATCTTCACAACAATGAAGCAACCGCTCACCGGTATAATTACGGGAGAATACACCGCGTTGGCCGCTCAGATGCAGTTCATCAATGGATAATTTTCCAATTTGTGCGTTCAGATACCCCGCCAGCACAACATTGTACGAGCTTCTTCTGTGACGAAGGAGTTAGTTCAGTTGTCGGTAGGAGTCGTCGTTTACCGAATCATCGCCAGAGTTTGTGGGCGCGTAGGCAGCGATGACGAATAGACACCTATTAGTCCCACGCGACTTCGAACGATCCAGCCAATCGGACCGCACACATACGGCTACTGATTGGGATCCAATCAACCAGAGCAGCTGCAGATCGGATACTCATGGCAATGCCAACACCGGCTTGGCCGGTGCTCAAAGCTACATGGTCACCGGATAAGCGCAATGAGAAAGTACTGCTGATATCCCATGAAGGAGATCGCAAAGCGAGCACACAGCTCGAGTCTTGCAGGTGGGTTTCCGACAAATAGCAGATATCGATGGAGAGGGTCACTAATGTGCTGCCTGTTAGCCGATCTGTAGCAATGTGCGTGCACTGAGGCACATCAATCTGGAGGATCGAGGGCTTCAAATGAAAGCAGATGAACTGGGGTGGACCGCTTGGTTGGACATGGCCTTGTCGACAGGACAGGAGTGACGCTCCGCGTTTGCATGTGAGTTAAAACTAGAAAATAAACGCCCAACGAAGCACGTTGGGGGAGGGCCAAAAATCGAAGATTTGAAAACTGGGAAGGTAAAAGTGATGTTGGAACGGGATGAGAAGGGTGAAAAAGCGTAAGAAGACAGGATGGCTTTCGCAGTAGCATCCAAACCCCTATCCACCCTGCTCGATGCAGCAGATACGGCGCCGTTGATTATCCTCAGCGACGACCAGAGCATCAAGAAATTGAAGATAAATTCAGTGTATTGCGTGGGCAGGATACTGTCAGGTTGCCCAGGCCTAGACAGGAGAACGATTAGGATCCTCAACCAAAGACTTTGATACAAATCCTGAACGCAAGGCAGCGGATTTAACGGTGGCCTATAGCGAGACCGTTTTAGAGAACAAAGAGCAACCCTCATTCCAAACCAAAACCTGGAGAACCAGCAGAATGAGTTGCTCTGGTCTCCAACCGTTGACCAATCTGATATGAGTGGCTCTGAAGGCGCAAGAAAGCACCATGTAGCCTAGCTTAATGGATATCTGAGGCACGCAAAATATCGCACCACGGTAAGATCCAGCCTCATTGCGATGAGCATGTGTCGGCGTCCACCTGTAAGTCGCAGTTCGCCGCCAACGGAAGTTGAAAACAGGACATGCAGTGACCATTCGTCACACCGCAACAGCGCTGTAGCCGCACCTTCCGAATACCCCTGTGACCAGTTTACGTCCACGACCTAAGCCCTATCACCGGCTCCCAGAAGACAGACACCACTCATCCTCCTCAATATCCCACAGATGAAAACACGGACGAAGCAACACAACCCCCTCAACTTCTCCAATCAACGCATCCAATGAGCCACATACCACATGTCATGCAATAGATACCCAAGTCCAAATACTGTGCATACAATCTGAACAGAAAACCTCGGTGCAAACCACTCCCACTACTACCAACAACACACGCAGCGGATACAACCTGTCTGTCACGCCACGAAATACCATCAACACTGCTCCAACATCTGCAATCTCAAGACAATAAGGCTGTCAACTAGCAGCACAATGTCCTCAATTAACAATATGACAGGATGCTGACAAAACGCGAGCGACCTAAATGATCGCAGACTGTAAATGCACTCGGCTACACAACAAGCGTTCTTCTTACGATGGAAGACAGCTACTCTCCAAGCCACTCAACTCACATCCAGATGCAAGCAGCCAGCGACCAATGAGTGCACATACCTGACAAGCCACTGTCACAGTAAAAATGCTGAGACACCAATCACCACCTCAACTGACCACAGAGTTGACTACGGATTGAAGTGCCCACCTGAAATCGTCCAACAAAAACAAACACCTCGCTCATCTCGTCAACAACGTGACGGCGATACTGACTCAGCTGCACGCAACAAACGCATTCTCACACCAGCAACGGCGGGAAGCATAACATACAACAGTAGGAATAGTCCGCGCTGAGCAACCACAGCGTCACCATGGCTGTGGACTATTACTCGGCAAGACACTATGTAGGCATCACGACCCGAACATACGGAGGCTATCCATTGGCTAGTTGGCCAGTGACAGTGACAAAAGCAAGTGACCCCGGTGTTCAAACAAACCGATCACCATCCAATAGTAACAAGCGATACGAATCTGCTGCTACACAGATACACACACATACACACAACATTGCGCTTCCAGCTCAAATACAACCTAGATCGCCCGATTGTCAAACACACTCTTCACCGTTCCACTGCAATACATCATAAGCCAGAACAATCACCTGCGCTCGCTGCACATAGCGAGTCACAATCACCAACATAACCCATTCAGCGCGCCGTCAGTAGTCTTGAAATCACCATCCACTCACAACATGGCTAGCACTAATAACCGGTGCAGCATTCACACAAGATTTCCACGTGCTCACAATGCGACCACCACAGTCACATGACAAACCCCACACAATGGGGTTACTTCCACTCACATACCTCGTCAACAGACCGGTTACCTCCAGTAATTCACAACCGGGTTGGTGATATTTCTCCGTTCATACACATTCGCTCATGTAGAATAGCGTCAAACAGTCTTCCACATGAGTTTCGCAGTTCATCGGGTACAAACGCCGAAATAGTCACAACCAAACCAACTCGCTGACACGCAGTCTTCAATAAACAGCTTAAACGCTACGAAAACAATAGCACCAGAATCACACACACGCACCATAGACCTAGCCGTTCGCGGAAGAAACGGGAGATGTCGTCCGAGATTCACAGATACACGCAGCAAACACACAGTCACATGGACTCATCAAACAACGAGCCATCGAGGAGCAAATAACAAACCAGTACTACTATCAACCGACAACCTCACCACCACGCAGCATAATAGGAGACCAACACGAAACATAACCCCACTATGATATAACCAAAAGTCTCGGGAAATTACGCTGACATGAACCGCAACGCTGTCTGATTCGCGAAATCGGCCGAGCCGAGTAATCTACACAAGCACAACCATGAGGGAACGCAATCACACACTGCGCATCACGCAAACACATACCGTGCAAGCACGCGCCGCGTGTCACTACTCCTAGTCACACCAGGCTACGAAACGTACATGCGACAGCACAACAAGCACCACAAAAGAAAACATCCTCGCCACAGACACAACGGATAACAACGCAAAGCGCAAACAAGCGACCCATACCAAGTGAACATGTTTTCAATGCATCCGCATGTGGACCTCACATAATGAGTTCTCCACTGAGACAAACAGAATGAAGCACAAATATGAGCAAGGCAAAACAAGCAAACCGACACTTACCTGACACAATGGCACGCTCGTACTGCGCACACAACATCACGATTAGCGACATTTCGCTGGCGCGTAAAATGCAGCTGAATCGGCGGACTTCGTCACATTTGCGACACACACCGCACAAACGCAGTGAGAACGAGGCAGTCCGAAGTAATGGACCTGAAAGGGAAACCAGTCAAGTGACGCATGTCACACAGTATTCAGACGTTGTGCTCCGCATTAGCATAGGAGACGAAAAATAAGACATCATAGATTTTCACAAAAATATACCGTTAAATTGAGGAATCCTACCTGCACGAACATCCAGTCCGCATGAGCTGCTAGCCAATGACCCACACCAGTGCGCGTTCACATTTCCAACTGCAATCATGAAGCGAGAAATTCTGTACGGTTCGAATACTGGACACGCAAATTGACAACATATATACATCTTCACGCCATCCATCCAATACCAACAAACAACTCCAAATGCACCACTGATAAACCACAAGAGCACACACGAAAGGGAACACAATCGAGTGCACACAACAACAACAACAAAGCAATGATGCTGTACTAAGATATTCCGCCACAAAGCGAGCATCACGACGAAAATATACGACAATCGAATAGCACAGAAATACACACGAGGGATCGGCGAGTTGAGAACACTCTCCGAATATTGCGCACGTAACACATAAGCTGCTGTACGGTGGGAAACACTAAGAAGTGTAGTGATCCACAACAGTAGGCATCAACAGACAGTGAAACACATCACGCTCATCACACAACCACGAACCTGAAGATGTGACAGGTCAGTGATGGTCCCATCCAGCGAACAAACCAGCCACACGTGTCGACATCATCATTATACGCATTAGCTAGAGGTGGGAAACACCTCAGGTACTGTGCCGCAATACATAGAAGAAACAAAGAACATGCAACAGATGCATGCCAGCTGAGCTACCAGTAACGGATGGGCATCGTTCCGGAAAGCTACAAGTCGGGTACTAGGAAAAATGATTGTTATGTAAAATTATATTTCGCTAGGAAATGAGACAGCGGTTGGAGAGGGAGGCTAAGAGGGATGGGGAAAGACAAAGAAACACAATACGAACGCCATTGAGGTCGGCTCCTAGCCATATCAGCAAGTAAATCCTGCCAAACGTGTTCATCTCACATTCGGACCCTAACAAGGGAGCCGAGTAGCTCCAACTGAGGCCAGAGTCGAAGTGATGGCTTTCATTCCCCTCAACCAAGTCATCGTTTGGCCAACTCTCTTTTCCATCTACATCCCTGGCGCGTAAACAACGCATATCACGGGAGTCGTTGGGTTGACATGGGTAACACGTGGCCGAATCACCGGAGCCTGGTGCGCGAAATGACGGCACTGCGCGGTTCATTTCATTTGCCTGTGCCGTAAACAAGGCGTCCAACACACTCGTTACTCACGCGCTGTTCCCACCAGATGTGAGCCAAATTGTGAAGGCACCGGCGGTCGAACGTAACTACCCTCTTTTTGTCGGCTAATCTAAGGGGCCAGGTAGTACAACAGTACAGTAGGGTCGAACGTACCGCTGCATTGTACACTCTACCCTTCAGAGCGAGAGTGATGTCACGCCGGCACCATAGGTGACGAAGGTTAGCAAAAACGCCTCGAGCTTTCGCTATCCGGTTCGTGATCTCATCTTCGATCCCAAGGGCGCTGATGCAACTACCCAGGTAGTTGGATTTTAGAACGACTTCTAGCTGATCTCCACAAAGGGTCAGTGCAGGAGAAGGGGTACATGCCAATCTTGGAGAAAAGCTTTGCACCTCGAGGTGCAAAGCAAAGCCCGAAGCGACCAACAACCATTGCTAATTGGTCCAGTACAGCTTCGCACGTCTGGGAGCCGTCACAGATGAGGGCAATATCGTCTACATACTCCAAGTCAAAAAGTCGGTCTCCTGGGAGCAGCTTCACACCTTTTAAGTAGTGTCCTGTGAAGGCAATTTCCATGACTACGTCAGTAGCAAAGTTGAAGAGGAAAGGTGACAGCGGGCATCCTTGTCTCATACCGCTAGAGACAATGAAGGGCTGCAACAGCTTGCCGTAAGCTCACACTCTGCCCAAGCTACGTGCGTACAATGCACGGATAATGTTGGCATAATTCTCTAGCACACTTCTCTTGAGTAGACAGTCACAAAGGGCACACCGTTCAACCGATTTGAAGGCACCTTTGATGTCAGGGAACATGACAACGGTGGCCCGCCAAAAAGGTGTGATGGTGCTGCAACAGCTGATGCAAAGTGAAGATGTGGTCGATGCAGTCACGACCCCGACGTAACCCGACTTGCTCCTCACGAATCTGACTTTCACGAGCGCCAGTCAGTCTGTGAAAGGTTTACAGAGGCAAGTAATTTGGAGGCGATGGGGATCAGACTGATTGCTCTATAGATGCCACATTCCAAATGCGAGCCTCCTTTGAAGATCGCGAAAATAACGGAGCGGCTCCGGTAGGATGGGACATTTTCCTGCTCCCACAGTTTCAATAATAATTGGTGTAAATCATCAACAAGAGCAGGGCCCTTGAATTTGAAGAGCGCTGGATGCGACGCATACAGACCAAATCCTAAATTATGACAGCAATCATCCAACAGCCTACAAGTGCAGCTGCGTAACAACTCTATTTGAAAAAGCTCCGACACACTGCAGCATCCCGCAGCTGAGAAAATCGGAAAAAGATCACTTGTTCGAAATGTTTACACGAAATGGGTATCCTAGAAATTTCATTCTACGTTGTTTAACATCAATAAAACGATCGACGCATGAACAATCATCAGAAACGGATAAAAGGATAATCAATCTACCATGCATCAACGGCGAATCTGAAATGGCAGCGAGACTTCTGCTACCTTTCGGAATCAGAGTTGCTTACAAGCCGACCGAAACTATCCGAGACAAGCTCTTCAATGGTAAGGATCAACTTGGAAAAAAAGAAACAAGTGATGTGATATACAAAATCCACTGCAAAAATTGTAACAAATACTACGTGGGCCAGACAGGAAGAAAGCTCGGCACTAGGCTACATGAGCATATCCTAGCCATCAGCCGACATGACCAGAACCACCTGATGTCGGTACATATGCACGCCGAGAATCATCAGTTTGATCTGGAGAATGTCAGGATCATAGGCAGGGCAAAAAGTCGAAAATCACGCGAGTTCATCGAGGCTTGATACTCCGGGAAGAACTCAATCAACAGACACCTAGATCTAGGTACTGCCTAGAAAGCAATGAGGGTTAAATCAATACTCCGCCCCAGATCAACAGAACGTCGGCCGGTGGCCGAGTGGTTGGCACGTTTGCTTTCCAACCATAAGGTCACCGGTTCGAATCCGCGTAGGGGTGGGCGTCCTCGCGGTATACTCAGCCCGCGCGCGACTGGTGGTGGTCGCGCGGCAGCGAAGCGCCGTTACGGCGTATAAGCTGACACATTTCATTAACGGCTGGCTTGCCGAACAACCTCCTCGTGGTGCCAGCGGGGTGGTTCGGGATTTTCCCGTTCCAGCAAATGGTTCGGCGGCAGTGTTCCAGGACGTGGTGGGTTTTCGCCTGGCAAGCGTTCTCCCTATAAAAAGCCACATATGTCCGTTTAACAACACTGTGACGTGGCGGACGTGACTCGCCACTAAATAAAGTCACTGCCCCTTGCTTCATCCTGGCGAAGCATTGTATTCCAGCAAGTTGATGCTGTAATTTCAGGGAGCATTGGGCCCCTGTTTGGCAAAGGAACAAACGAAAGGCGTATGAACTGATCAATCAGTCACCGGCTCCCAATGGGCGCGATTCCCTGAATTCGCTCCGCTGCCTTGCGGACACGCTATTCAGCCAAAGGCTCGGGGTGGTGTCCCTTAAGTCAACACCCTACTTCGGCTTGGGCAACCGGGTAGTATTTCGCCCTCTGACGAAACCGTGGACGTCGATGTGTTGTGTTTTCTTTTACTATTTCTGTACCTTGTTTTGAGTTCCATGGTTTCCGATGGTGCAATGTCTATCCATAGACTGTTGCAAAAAAATATATATATATATATAGATCAACAGAACAAAGGAACGTCATTGAGGCGGATTCTAGCCAACGGTACGCAAGAGCCGACTACACGGTCAGCTCACGTGGACCAACCGACCCCTGACGTTCGAAGCAAGTGATCAATAATCACTTGTATCTGGAAGTGGCACGCATAGATCGCACTGATGACGTCGTCTAGCCTCACGATGAAACGATTGCATCCAAATCAGCCAGCTCGGAGAACACCCGCATACTCTCATCCGCATCCCGACCTACAAATATCCGCACGGATTTCTGGATGAAGATCATCCGGTCCCACGGCTTTATACAACTTCTACAGTCCAATCTCACGTTCCAGTTCTCAACGACAGGGCGGATCCAAAAGGACAGCCCAGGGAGCAGGGTGATCACTGGTCGGTGAGGAACCTAATAATTCTGGCCGATTAAATTGCATTTCAAAATGCTTAGCCAAATGCTCAAAACCTTTTGACAAGTTGTGAATAGGTTGTCCACTCTCGTCAAGATTATCTTCACTAACACCAGGTCTCCTGCTGCCCGCTACCCGTAGCAGACGGAATAACTTTCAACGGTTATCAAGGGCAGCGACCACCTCCATCTCTGACGCACGAAGTGATCACGTGGATTCGCGGTCTCTCTTCAAGCAAACACGGATTTCTGCCCGGAGTTCTTTGCGAGTCTCATGGCGTTCGCATCCAGCCGGAATGTGCACGCGAGCATCGATAAGTTCCCGAGACCGCGAAGAGACCCAATGTCCATGTTGGCTATTAGACTTGCGACACGAGGATTCGCCTGCTGCTAGTAAGGTCTGGTGAAAATGCGACCAGTGACCTACAATTGTCTCCAGTGAGCGCTTACTCAACCCGCATGTCATGGTACTTCCATACGCATTCAGAACAACTGACTTCGCCTGTTGGCTGGTGTCAATGCGCTCACAGCGTCGTCCTGAGGGTCCGCCAAAACGTATCCGCAGGTCAGCACATACAAGTGCATGAGCTGTGTCCACACATGTGCTCTAAATCGAATGACAGTTCTGGACGCAGCCTCTCCAGCGGTAACTAATTGTAATGTGATCGATTTGCGTCCATAGCTGGTTCGAGGCTGGTGGGCGCCAAGTCATTCTCCGGCGGGCGCTGTGTCGGAAAGTAGTGCTCGCAAGAAATAAGCGGGCATCTTCACAACAATGAAGCAACCGCTCACCGGTATAATTACGGGAGAATACACCGCGTTGGCCGCTCAGATGCAGTTCATCAGTGGATAATTTTCCAATTTGTGCGTTCAGATACCCCGCCAGCACAACATTGTACGAGCTTCT